TAGGATGTCACGTGCCATGCACTTAAGAACCGGATAGCGATGACCATTAATACCCCACCAAGTTAATGCATTTAGTTCTTCTTCCTACGGCCCTATGCATTCATGTAAGAACCTATCCAACTCGTTCATCACATACCTACTTATCCCCTCTAATCTTTTTGCCACTTCTCTAAGGTTTTTCATGCAATCGGCACCCCCTTCTATACCAAAGACACTATCATCATCAACATCAAAATCAACATCAACATCTATTGGCATTAAATCTCCTTGTTAGCTACTGATTTGGGTAAAAACCCTAAGCCACGTGGCCTAATAAAAAGTTGACACATAGAAGTCTAGGAAAGGTCCATATAGGACCAACCACCGCTGACATGTGTCCTTCCTAATTAGAAGGGAAAAAGATGGACTTTAGGGCCCAATTCCCGAGAAAGCCGCAAAGCGGCGCAACCCACCAATCTAGGTCAAAATGACATAAGGGCACATTTACCAATGACCCTATAAATAGGGAGATTTACCCCATTTGGGGACACGTCATTTATTACAACACAATTAATTCTCTCACATCAGAGAAAACACCTGATCTCGGGATCCGAGAAGATCTACTTTTACTTTCCGCACTTTTTACCTTACTTCGATCGGTTCTAACTTGATCGTCTGAGGCGGAACTCCTACCAACAGGAGCTTTTGTTGTTTTGCAGGTACATCCGGCAGGGAATCCAGTCTTAGTGACGTAACTCTCCCGTAGGACACAAAAAACCCCGAAATATTTTGGCGCCATCTGTGGGGAGAGTACCTCTAAGATGGTTTCTTAAGAGACTGTACCGCCTCCTATAGAAAAGCAGCCTACGGCTGAGGTCTTTTTAGACCATGATACGGATGAAGATCCAGAGGTCGAAACATATACGGCCGCAGATGGATCCCTCATTACAAGGCGCATCCGTTCCAAAGACAACAAGGAGCGGGGTAATAAGTTCATGAAATTCATGACAAGTTTCAAGGGAGAGATGAAGGACCTACTCTCCAAGAGGACGGCTGGTCCCAGCAAGGGTCAAGCAGCCAAGAAGCCCTTACGCTCTGAGAAGGCTAAATCGGTCAAGGATAAGGAGCCCACTCCGCACCCAAAAAAAAGGAGGGGACCCGGCCTTCGATTGATTAGACCAAGTTCCGCTTCCCCGAGCCGGGGAAAAGGAAGGCCATCCGGCATACACAGCCGGATGGCAGCAAGAAGACTATCTCTAATGCTCGACTTATTATTGAGCAAAGGAGAAACCAGCAACTGTCAGACTCAGTTTCAACGTCGACTTTCCCTGACAGCTTCAAGAATACCTCGATGAGGTATTCTCAATCTGCACAGGAGAGCCTGTCAGGTGGCCCATCCGTCCATACAGGTCCTCAGATGATAGGGTCAGTCCCGTATGTGCCCCAACAGCCATACAGGCTGTTTGCCCAGCCTTACCTGCTGCATGTTCTCTTTGGTGGTCAGGCGGTATATAATGTTCAGCCACTGGACTGGCAACTCCGTCTGCTAAAACTTGGAGAACAACCTTTTGCGTTCTCCAAGGGGATAACCAAGGCGAGACAGCCGGCCAAGGTTAAGAATGTATAGCCTTTTTCCCAGCCTTACCTGCAGCTTGCTCCCTTCAGGGGTCAGGCGGCATGTAACGTCCAGCCACTGGACTAGCAGCTCCGTCTACTAAAACTTGGAGAACAACCTTCTGCATTCTCCAAGGAGATAACCAAGGCAACATAGTCGGCCAAGGTTAAGAATGTCATGGTGGGTACTTATGATGGTACCACCAACCCAGAAGACCACCTGGGGGCATACACCCACCTCATGTACTTCAGGGGTTGGATGATGCCGCATGGTGCAGGTGTTTCCCAGCCACGCTGAAGGGCATTGCTCAACAGTGGTTTGGAAATTTTGTCGGTTGGGTGCATCAACAATTTAGGACGCTTGCGTTCTTGTTTGCCTCAAACTTCTCCATGAACATACCCGTCAAAAAGACAAACTTTAACTTGGGCGCGGTACAACAGGGAGACAGGGATGGGCCCCGTTCATACGTCAGGCGGTTCAATTTGATGAGAATCCAGATCCAAGGATTGTCTGACGATGTTGTTTACACAGACTTCTTCAAGGGTCTGAAAGAAGAGTCGACTTTCAAGTTCGATCTCATCCGGAAGAGAATTTCAACTCTTCAAGAGGCGTTGATGGAGGCGGAAGCCTATATACAGGCAACCGAGCTCTACTCCACCAGTAAGCAGTTAGACTCAAAGAAGTCTGACAAACAAAAAGGGAGTCAGCAAGAATAGCCGGCTCAAAAAGCTGAAGAGAGCAAGAAGAGAAAAGAGATCTGGGCGGTTAACGATTCTGATCAGTCGTCCCAGAAGAAAAAGAAAGAGTTCAAACCGTACATCCCAATGTAGGAGTTTAACAAGGACTGCTACTCCATCCTCATGGAGATAAAAGATCGGGTGACTATTGAGAAGCCCGCTGCCATGAAGAGTTCCGTTAAAAATCGGAAAAAAGACAAGTACTGCCATTTCCATGAGGATATTGGCCATGACACCAATGACTGCTACAACTTCAAATGTTTATTGGACAGAACGGCTTGTCTGACATCATCAGCTGGAAGTGTCTGTCCAAGCTAAAATGTAAGCTAGGCAGCATGAACAGGTTCACTCACCCCCTGGTTGGTTTTGGGGGTGGAGTTGTGCACCCAGTCGGCCGAATTGATTTACCCATCCAGCTGAGAGAGAAGGAGAGGGGCGCCATATGGTCATTTGGTTCTTGGTCGTAGAAGAGCTGACCGCCTATAATCTCATTTTGGGTCGTCCGACTCTAAACGAATCCAAGGTTGTCATTATCCCATCCCTCGTGCTGCTGAAGTTTGAAAGAGATGGCGGTTTTGTTGGCTCCCTGAATGGAGACCAGAAGACAGCCCGGGAGTGCTATCTCTCAGACGTCAAGCCCACGACGGCAGCAGTCGACCAGGGTGAAGAGCCAATAGATCTTGACGATGTCAAGGAACCAAGGCCTGCCCCACCAGCAGTCGGCAAGAAAAGAAAGGTTGACCAGCTGGTCACTGTCAAAAAAGAGAACAATAGCAATCACTGACCGAGGAACGGTCAGATGAACTCCGTCCCCAACCAGCTGGTGAACACATCGATATTTCTCTGGATGACACACGTCCAGAACGTGCTATTAAGGTGGGGATGGTTGCCTTTGCAAAGTTGGGGGCAGACTTGCACAATTTGCTAAAGGAATTCAAGGACATCTTTGCCTTTGAAGTAGAAGAGATGCCAGGCATCAGCCCGGATCTTGTTGTCCATAAACTCGTCGTGGATCTAAAAGAAGAAGCATGTTAGGCAAAAGAAAAGAAATCACGGTGAGGAGAGAAGTCAGGCGGCAGCCGCCGAAGTAAAGAATTTGTTAGACGCCAGGTTCATTCGGCAATGTTACTTCCCAGATTGGGTTGCGAATGTTATTCTTGTTATGAAGAAGTTAACATATGATGAATTATTAGTTAATTTTTTTTATTTGTAAAGCACCATCCTATGATGGTTTCCTTGTGTATTAATATCAAAGGTATTATTATGTGTACTATACTATGCGGGTTTGTGCTGATGTTGAAGACTCATTTCTATTTATTGTCATTGTGGATTATATTGCACTTGATTAGTTAAGAATTCCCCTTGGTTGCTTCTGTGAGGTTTTTGATGGTTATGTGCTGCTTCTAGATTATATCATTAAGTATGTCTTGATATGCTGAACTTTCTTGTGTGTTTTTTTTTCCAGAGATTGCACGCCATGGAAGACAGAAGAGAAGGATAAGACAGAAGTGCATGGGTTTGGGGCTCAATTAGGCCATACCTAGAAGTATAAAACTTAGGAAGAAATAGTTTGACAAAGTCTGGTGCATTGTGCAATGTGAAATGTGCATAACAGTCTTCTTCACATTCCGGGATGCATATTTTTGTGCTATGCAGAATGTACAGTTTCATGAAAATAATGTACTTTTGATGATCGACATCTTTTTTTAGCAATGCTGAAATGCGTTGTTGTGAAACGAAAGAAAAGGTTCGAGTCCCTTTTGCTAGGCCAGGATGAGGTATTCTGATCCTGGGTTCTAGAATTCTAGAAACTTGGGAACTCTGAGTGTGATTATATTTTTTGTAGGGCATTTTTGATAAAGAGCGAAGGGGCCTAAATTTTGGTTACTTCAAACTCTTGTGTGGGTCTATGTAGACGTGTTTGTAAATGTGATACAAAAGCTTGTGAATATAGCTATCTTTAAATTGTTGTAGCGCTCTTTTTAGCTTGGGTGTTACGGTGTTGCTGACATGTTGTGATGTTGATGAGATAATTACAGTTCAGATATGTTGGTTGCATTGTTTCTAAGTCTCCATGCTTACAACTGAAGTTTGTTTATTAATAATCCTAATTGCTTATCAATATTACTTGACTTGGTTGTGGCCAAGGCGTGGTGTGATGGTGCGCATTATATGTCTTGTTAGCTTTGTTTGTGTGATTAAGGGCTCTGTGGAAAAGCAGGCATGGGTTTAATTAATTAATTACTTAACCAAAACTTGATTAATAATTGTCATTCAAGGCTTCAAAGAGGTATATGTCGGGGCTATTTTAATCCTTAGATGGTGTGGCGTTACTTGTAAGTTGCAATGTGTGACTGGAATGATTGATTGATCTTCTAATCCATAGGTGTTATGGCTTGATGCTTGTCTGCTATCTTCGTCAGAGCCTTTTACTCCGTAGAGGTTGATGCATGATACTGGCCTTATATTTCATAAGTCTAAGACCAACAATATAAGATATTCGTGCACCCAAGATGAGTATGTGCGTCTTGGAGCTGAGAGAACTTCTAATTGATACTAGGGTGAAGAAACACTAATCACATAACAACTCTTATATCAAATAAAAGTTTCTCTTTCCTTTTAAAAGATATTAATTGCATAAAATCATGGACAATGTGAACAAGGTAGAATTAGTGAGATTCGACTCCTTGCATCATGCCTGAAAGTCGAATTGCAATCCTTACCATTAGAACCTTTTCTGATTGTTTGGGTCAACAAATGGAGCATAGCCCAATAGCCCGTTTGTCCAGCCCAAGTAAGCTCCGTATTAAATAATCAAACAAAAAGGAGGGAGAAAAGAGGATAACGTTACATACACTTTTACAGAGTCGAAGCTCCAACAATGGAGGTTTTAGCAGTTGGCATACCTCATTTAGGAGAGAGAATACTCTCTCATTCCTCAAACCTAATTTCTCTATCTTCATCTCCTTCGCAAATTCACTCGATTCCCATCCATTCAATTCAATTTCAGAAATTCTAAACTCAGAAATTACAGTAGTATTAGCTTGCAAGAGAAGCTTCCATCAATTGAAGACGAAGAAAAAGAAGATAGAAAGTACGAAGATGAATTAATGGCAGATAGAAATTTAGCGTTGCTGGATGATTATGAAATGGAGGAGAGTGATTTTGACCCTAACCATAAAAGTGGTCAGTATTTTTCAAAATTCTTGTATTTTTTTTCTTTTTTAATTTAGGGTTTCGTAGGGCTGCATTTCGAAATTGAAGTTTAGCTTTGAAATGTTTGATGTTAGTTCTATTTTGGTATCTTCAAATTTAGGGCAATTTTCACTGAATTTGGTTGTTTAATTGATTTTTAGTTGTTGCTGATTTTTGAAGTACTACTTCTTGAAACTGGGTTCATGCTTTGATAGATTTTAGTGCTATTAGCTATTTATGTTATCAGTTGATATTAATTATCCTGTGGCATTTTCGAGTGTTCAATTGCTTTATTGTTCACTTTCGAGGTTTTGTTAACTTGTAATATGTTAGGAAACGTTTCTTTGGAGACATCGGGTAAGGCGATAGGATTGGAATGATGTGATAAGAAATTGGGGAGGATGCTATTCAGGTGATTGTAATGGTGAATTGGTTGTGCACTTGAGCTACGGCTTTAATGGATACCATACTAATGTTGCGGGCGATCAATCAGGATTTGGTTGTTTTGTTTAGGACTATCGTAATATTAGTAATGCACTTATAAGTTCTTATCTTTGGTAGATACTAGGTCAGGGGATTCGAGTTATTGAGTAATCCCTACTAAGCAGAAAACCTTGCCTCCACCTAGTTGATATTCAGAAATAACAGAAGTTTGATTATGTTATTCATTATCTTCAATTATTTGGACTTCTATACAAGTCTATTCTCCAACTTTTTTTGTTGGGGTTATGGTTAGATGTTCTGAAAAATATGCTTCTTTTTCTTGAGATTACATTTTAATTTCATTTACAGGATACAAGCCAAATGTTCGGAAAAGCACTCTTATAAATCAAACGATTGGTCAGAAGCTGTCAATTGTTACAGATAAACCTCAGACTACCAGACATTGAATCCTTGGTATATGTTCTGGCCTAGATCATCAGGTTTGAATTTCCCTGTAAATGATGGCCTTGTGACATCGAATATATATTTGTAGAAGACAATACCTCTAATGGCAAAATGTTGTTTCCTGTGTGGAATCTTCTATAGCTTTTAATTTTTTTTGTTCTTTTAACTTTTGAAGTGTGATTAAGCGTGGTGTTTTGATAACCCCAGGCCTGTTATGTGTTTAATGTGTAAACTTTGGCTGGTGACATTCCTATTTAATGACGGTATCTTCTGTTGACAAAATTGGCACATGTTGCTTGTATTTTTTCTAATTTTCTTGATATCATTAACCATTATGAAATAAAATTGACCATGCTTTTATGGTAAAGTTGGGAATACTTGACATCAGTCTAAGGTGCTGCATCATGTGATTTTTTTCCTAGGCGATAGGGAAACAAATGTCATGTACCATTGTATTGTCTATATATTAAGTAACCTAGTGATGCAGTTGAATGAGTACATCAATTAATTGCTAGTGACATTCTTTGTTAAGGTTTGCATTAATCTTTTGATGATTTTGTGTTTGTTATTCTCATCTTAAGCAGTTCTAATATGGGTCATCATATTTCATCAGGGAGGCTTTGCTTGATTTCTATGTCTGGGAAAAGAAAGCCTGAACATATTATCATATTTAGGTACGGGTTTTTTACTAATTAGTATTTAAGATCTCTGCATTATTTTATTCTTGTTTTTTAAGTTCTATGCTAAAGTTAAATTGCTGTATGTTAGCTCTTAAGGTTTCTTCTTTTGTTCTGTATCTCTTAGGGATGGAGTTAGTGAGTCTTGAACATCGAGTTAGACAAAATCATTGAGGTTTGCCCATGATTATTAAGCTAATCTTTTTAATCCTCTCTTTTTGGAGTGTTCAGGAAAAAACTTTACATCTCTACCGCATCAATTTTTATATCCATCCCTCAGCATTCGGTCTTATTTTTGGAGTGGTTTGTGGATGTCAGAGTGATTAACATCCCAGTTTGTTGTAAGTGCCTAAGTATGTGAGACCATTCTGATAATATATATATCTTATAGGTGTTTAATTTCGATGCTGATAAATCTCTGAAGTTCAGTTAAGCATGAGTATATAAAGGACCACATGCGGTATATTAATTTGATTGTTCTGTGTAAAGGCATAGTTACTATATCATACTTGAGCATCTTATTCGATCACTCTGTCTAAAATTTTCTAAAGCTCACTTTCAACTTTTCAAGATTAATTGGAACTTATATTGTACTTCACATATTTTGGGTAATCAGGCTGGTTTCCTCAAGAAGGCTTTGAAAAATTCAGGTATTGCATATGAGATTGACGAAAATCATAAGAAAGCAGGAATACAATCTAGCTGAAAGCCTGAGGTTCACAGCTGATGTATTGGTAAATGCTTAATTTTGAAATTTTGAGTCTTCACTCCACCTGTGTGAAAGTAAACACAACCCCAGCTTGATTTCCGAATTGTTTAGTTGTGCTAATGTAGGCTTGGGGTTTTCTGATGTGTTGGAGGTTAGGGGTAAATTGGTGAGATAAATCACAGTAGTCAGTAATCAGTCATGAGTATACCTACAGAAACTATTGTATATGCTTTTTAAAAACCTTCCTGAATGACCTGAAATGCCTGAATGATTATACTCTATGTGACATGGGCTTATGTTCTTCTTTTTAGATCAAATTCCATATGTTGAGTCTGATTCTTACGTGGTCTACAACAACGAGAATGGCAGGGTCATCAATCGCTTAAGAGAAGATGGTATTGTTGATTTGGACTCTGATTATCACACTATCCCAGAATAAATATCAATGAAGGTGATGGTTAGCAGCTGACTTGTGGATTCCCTTGTATATGAGGTATGGATAGCTTCAGACAAAAAGTATGTACAAAAGATCTACTATTCTGATCTTGCATGGCCCATTGGAACTATTCTCTACTTCAAGCAAATTCATGCTGTGAAGAGCCATCTTGGAATCACCAATGAGAATGCCGAGAGAATCGAAACTGAGGTCAAACTTTATCCTGATATTTTTTATCCTAATTTGTGAATGAACAAGCATTTGATCTGATTTGATCAGTCATTGCATCTCTATCCTTGCTTGTTTACAAGTTCTGTGGTAACGGATGCTGTTTTTTGGAGTTTGTGTTTATTATTCTCAATTGCAATTCAAACTAATTGCAAACCTTAACAAAGAATGCCACTAGCAATTAATTCATCAAAAGATGTGCCATATGAGAAATCAAGCAAAGCCTCCCTGATGAATTATCAATTCAAAAGATGTGCCATCAATTGCAATTCAATGTATTTTTAATTGAATCTAATTAATTCATTGGTGCAGGTTAATGGACTGGCTGAATTTTTGGCAAAACCAGAATCTGAAACCCAGGAATTCCCTGAAAGATCAGCAATTAACTCATCTTATGCTCTCCGGACCACGGCCACAAGAACTCGCTGTTCTACAAGGACTAGAGCGGTGGAAGGAACTGATGCAAGGAAGACTCCGGCAACACGAACCACTCGGAAAAGAGCATCTCAGGAAGCCTCAATCCAGAAAAATATGGAAGCTGAATTTGAGGCTGAAAAGGACCAATCTGAACTGACAACAGTGTGCTTCCTGGTAATGGTTTTTCTGAATTTTTATTTGGATGTTATTTCCTGTTTTTTATTTCTGAAATTTTGTTTCTACTTCTTGTGTAAGGAAATTTCAGAAGTGGTTTCAGGAGTAAGTGTCGAAATTGAAGGACAAAGTGAACCCCAGAAGGAGGTAGAGCAGCAAGTCGATGATGGACAAGAAGTCATTAATTTGGATGCACAAGAAGGGGTTACCGAGATGTCGAATGACAGTAAGAAGGTGGACTTCCACAGCTTCAGTCGAAGGGATCTCCAAAATCTGTGTAAGGAAAACAAGAAACCTGCCAATACTACCAATGCTGCAATGGCTGCTTCGCTTGAATCTCTCGAAATTGTAAGTTTCTTTTGCTACCATATCTTTTGGCTGTTAATACCTGAACCATTCGTCTAAATTTTTGTATAGCTGACTTTGGAAGCCAATGACTACATTTTATCTCTAAAGTTAATGTTGTTTATACGCTAGATGTATTAATTTCCTAATAATTGTATTCTCATAGGTTGAAGGTCTGCAAGAGTTACTGATGGGATGTGACTCTCAAGTTCCAAGCTCCCCTCTGATGTCCAAAGTGCCCACAATAATTCTAAGGATGGATATATCTCACGGATCACCAAGGCATTCTGATGTGCCATCAATTGCTGCTGTAACTTTCTACACTCACCCTTCCTCATCATTTCTAAAAAATTGACAAGGAAAATTTGCTATCAACATTCAATAGTCTTCTCCCCAGCATTCTTAGTTAATAGTTTCTGCTTCTCTACTGTGAAATACAAAATTATTAGTATACTGGCAACACTGCATTGATTTTTAATTGACAAATCTGTACAAGAGGCTATCTGGCAGCAATACTGCACCATAGAATCAAGTATGTTAAGTTTACTTAGCACATGACAGTCAAACATTTCTATATCAAAGACGCTCAGTTTTCCAATCAGCTCAAGACAAAACATCGAATGCAACTTTGATCCGCTCCTACAGTCAAGCTTGCATATATTATACGTTTTTACACAATGATCAATATTTCGATGATTTCTTATCCTTCATCCTTGTTACTCAAATCTTAAAACCCAGAATACTTTTTAAAAAATTAGGGTATAACATATAACTGTTAGTTCAGACTTTAAAAATATTTTCCGGCCAAATTTCATGATTTGACTCAATTATTAGTTCAGACTTTAAAAAACCATATAATTCTTCATGTAACCAAATTAAATTGCACAACATTTAAAATATTACTTTAACAACAAGGGTATACTTGTGCAACTAGAATCAGGAGAGTACAATCGGAATTATAAGAAAATGGCTAAAGCAAATAAAAAACACATATCAGAAGAATAACATGCCAAGTGCAGCCCAAAGCCATTGCATAAGCGAAGCTTTTTAAAAAAAAAATTATCCTCCGGCTTATTCGCCACCCTTGACAGTGCTGCAATGCTGTTAGTTCAATTGCGAAGTCAGATTAACAATTCTTCAATTTGATGGAAGCAAATACCACATTGAGTTCGAAAGTGTCAACAGTAGCTACAAGCCTACAAGTTATAATTTACTACGACATAATCCAAATTTGTCAAATTGTAGCAATTTTAAGAATAAGAGAGAATACATATATTGGTAAAAAACTGTTGATCAATTCCATAATCCTGAGACTTTCACAAAGCTCTCATAATGAAAATTACACAATTGGTAGCACTCTCATTTATAGGTCTTAAATACCCTAACTTACAAGTAGGCCTAGTTATTGGGTAGGGCTACCCAATAGCAAAAGGGTCGGGCCTAATACTAAAGGGGTTTGACCCTTTAATTTTTTAATGGACAGAGCTTTTATAGGGTCTTATTTTATAGCCCAATAATTTTAAGAATTAAAATAAAAAGCCCAATAATAATGGTAAGGGTCAGCCACTCAGCCCTCACTTCCATTTTCTCCCTCTTCTTCCGCCCACCTTTCTCTCTCCTCCATTGAAGCGCACTCAGAGTTCTCCATTGAAGCCGCGCACTCAGAGTCTCAAGTATCATCATTGTCTGCAGATTTATTTTGGTGTTTTTTGTACGATTTAATTATAATTTGGGAGATTTTATAGGTATCTTCCTTTTTTTTTTTTTTACTTGATTTTAGTTTTAGAGAATCATGATTGTCTGCGGATTCGACTTAATTTTTATGAAAATTTGATGAATTTGGATATGATGTGATCGAAAATCAATTCAAATTGGATGCATATCCTCTACAATTGGAAAATTTTGATATTCGATTTTACAATACTTGACTTCAGATTATTTTTTTTCGTCGAAAATGGTAAAACAATGGAGACTGCTAATTGGGGGAAAAGTAATTATAATTTGGGAGTTTTTTTGCTTGATTTGATATTTGCTTGATTTGATTATAAGTTGTTCTTGGTGTTGCTAATGCTGATTTATTTTGGTGTTTTTCGTATGATTTAATTATAATTTGGGAGTTTTTTTGCTTGATTTGATATTTGCTTGATTTGATTATAGTAGTATGGTGCAACGATAACTATCTTGTGTTGTCAGTGTAAGTTAGCTTAGTATGTACAATAGAAGTTTTAACAAATGTCATCAATCATAGAAACCCCCCTGCCCCCAATTCAAATTTTGTTTCTTTTTGAAAGGAACTGTCCAACTGAAAGCACTTGAAATTTAATAGCAGAAAGTAGAAGTTAATGGCTCGCTTCACTTTTACCTCGACCCTGATCCGACCCTGATCCGCTAAATATTCATCATGATCCGCAACCAACCCGTCCCGCTAATGACCCACACCGACCCGCCCAATAACCACCCCTACTTACAAGCAAGACCTAACACACATGACATCAAATCACAAAGTCTTCCCAATGTATGTTTCCCTATACAAGTTAACACTGTACTACAATTTTGTCTCCAATCTACATAATGGACACGTTCGTTTTCCTTGAAAAGCTCAACGAATCATGCATTTTTTGTGATAGATATGAGAGCAAGGAAGAGTCGCCACATTGTTTGACATCCCAAACTCCTCTAAACATATCGAGCAATTACTAGGGGTGGTTATTCGGCGGGTCAGTAGCGGGGCGGGTCGGTTGCGGGTCATGATGAATATTTAGCGGGTCAGGGTCGAGTTAGGGTTAATGCGGGTCAGGGTCGGGGTAAAAGTGAAACGGGCCATTAACTTCTACTTTCTACTATTAGATTTCAAGTGCTTTCAGTTGGACAGTTCCTTTCAAAAAGAAACACAATATGAATTGGGGGGAGGGGGGTTTCAATGGTTGATGACATTTGTTAAAACTTCTACGGTACATACTAAGCTAACTTACACTAACAACACAAGATGGTTATCGTTGCACCATACTACTATAATCAAATCAAGCAAAAAAAACTCCCAAATTATAATTAAATCATATGAAAAACACCAAAATAAATCAGCATTAGCAACACCAAGAACATCTTATAATTAAATCAAGCAAATATCAAATCAAGCAAAAAAAACTCCCAAATTATAATTACTTTTCCCCCAATTAGCAGTCTCCATTGTTTTACCATTTTCGACGAAAAAAAATAAACTAAAGTCAAGTAGTGTAAAATCGAATATCAAAATTTTCCAATTGTAGAGGATATGCATCCAATTTGAATTGATTTTCGATCACATCATATCCAAATTCATCAAATTTTCATAAAAATTAAATCGAATCCGCTAACAATCATGATTCTCTAAAACTAAAATCAAGTAAAAAAAAAATGGAAAATACCTATAAAAACTCCCAAATTATAATTAAATTATATGAAAAACACCAAAATAAATCCGCAGACAATGATGATACTTGAGACTCTGAGTGCTCGACTTCAATGGAGAACTCTGAGTGCGCTTTAATGGAGGAGAGAGAAAGGTGGGCGGAAGAACAGAGGAGAAGAGATAGAAAATGGAAGTGAGGGCTGAGTGACTGACCCTTACCATTATTATTGGGCTTTTTATTTTAATTTTTAAATTATTGGGCTATAAAATAAAACCCTATAAAAGCCCTATAAAATAAGACCCTGTAAAAGTCATGTCCATTAAAAAAATTAAAGGGTCAAAACCCTTTAATATTAATATTAGGCCCGACCCTTTTTCCATTGGGCAGCCCTGCCCAATAACCAGGCCTAGCAATTACTAATAGTTCCTGAATGGCCGCTGTTAGCAAACTTGACTCCACCTGTAGAATAGATTTTATGCGATTAGTATCACAATACATGGGTTCGTAATCCTGTTCAATACAGTCGGTATCAAGATTATAAGGATGCATGGGCTCGTAGTCCTCTTCCTCTACATTTTGGTAAACCATAAGGTTAAAAACAAGAGACGTGCGACCAGATTCACGAACATCAGTGATCAAACTCTCACAACTTTCGACCACAACATCAATGGTAGTATCCCAAGCATTGACATTAACATTAAGATGAGCGAGCCAACCCATGACATCAAATTGCCAATCAGAGCTTTCTCTCTTCAACTTTAATGTCCCAGTAACATTGTGGACAAGGCTGCTGTGGCCGCGGACGTGGCCGCGATACGCTGAGTGGACGGTGAAGAAATTATCGACTGGCCTCTGACATCACTAGAATATTCGTCGATTGACCGTGATTCAACTCTGATGCCTGATTTTATTACTAAACTTAAACATTTATTCATCGTCATATGACATTCTGCACGAACAGATTCTGAAATTAGGAACGAATTCTAAAACTCACACTTCCATCTCATTCATACAAATAATCGTGATATATATAAACATTATAGAGATTCAATTATCAAATTAGGGTCGAAAATTCAGAGGGAAATTTGATTAAAACATCATAAATAGTTGAGATTCGAACCCTAAACTTACCGCATTGACAATTAAAATGAATCAGATAAAACATAAACCCTAGATTATGAAATTGATATGATGACTATAAACAAGTTACCTCTCAGAAGCTGCCTCTTCAATGGGGGATACACGGATTAGAAGGCGCCGTCCGCTTGAAACTAAACCTTAACCTTCGAAACTCACTCCAACCACCCCGAAATACTCAACACTCACCCGAAAACACTCACCCAGAAAATTCGAAAAAAGAAATGGAGAGTAGAGGAGCAGAGGTGGTGGTGGGAGAGAAGAGAGAAAGATAAAGGGATAAATCACTTTTTTTATTGCCAGTATTTACAGTCTTATACTACGTATAATTTTATCAAAGTTAATCTTTGTGCGGTTTGTTTTAAATAAATCAATTTTTCAATTAACTAACAATAAGTTGTATTTTAAGAAGGTGTTTGTTTGGAGAAAAAAAAGAGGAAGATAGGGATATATAGGGATAAAAGTAAAGGGGTTCAAATATTCTCTTGTTTGTTTAGGGAGATAGGGGGATAGGGATAACATAGGAAAGGGGGACAAGGATAAAAATACAAGTTATCCCTCTAAAATAATAACTAGGGGAGGTGGTATAAGGGTTGGGGACATAATAAAGGAGGTAAAATACATTTTTACCCTTAATGAAAGAAAGAATAAAGGAAAAGGAGAAATTTGAGTAAGGGTAGTTAAGTAACTTTTTTACTTATCCCAATATAATTCCCAATTCATACCAAACAAAGGACAACCTTTTTTTCTTCTCAAAAAAAAAAAAAAAACAAAAAGGGTTTTTCTATATAGTACCATGTTAATTTCGTTTTTCTAAGTTGTGCCCCAACATACATCACTTTCCACACTATAACCTCAATATATATACAATTTCCATACGGTAACCTTTCCGTTATCCCACTGTTAAAAAATTCCGTTAGTGGGGTCCACTTTCCATTTATTAATATTTTTTATCGATTTGCGCGTTGGAAAATATTCTGTTAAAAGTTTTGGGGGCTATTTTAGCCCTCATGGGTCCAAATTG